TTTGGAGCTGTGAGAGCATTTTGGAGACAGAAGTAGATGAAGAAAGTAAGTGGGAGGCTTAAGAGAACAAAAGGGAGCTCTTAAGACAAAGCTCTTTGAGTTGAGGATGGGTGGAATATTATGAGAAAGGGAGAAAAATAGCTTATGGAGCCATTAGAGCGAACATTTAAGTTTTATTTATTCTTATCTCCTGACGTGTGAGAATTGGAAGCCCCTTTGAGATATTTAAGGAAAATATGGGGGGAAAGAGGGGAAAGAGGGAAGGAAAAGGAGAATTCCACTTCTGAGCAGCAAGTATAGAGGACCTTCCTTGGTGGAAAGAATCCTGCCAAAAATTCAGGGATCTGAGATGCTTCTTGTATTCCTTCTCTCAGGATTTAGTGATTAAAAAAAAGACATTTTCAAATTAAGATGGCCCATGTATGTTGGAAATGGGCTTCAATGCCTCAGTCATAGGGCTTCTCTGTGTGAATCATTTATCAAGAATCTTCATTCACAATACTCTACAAAGTGGCTTATATGACATCATCATCATCAAGGGTGCCTCCTCAGCCCTTTAAAAAATACCTTGGAAAGTCTGGTATTATCTGGAAATCTTGGAATGGAACATTTACAGTACATATTTGTGCAATTCTGCTATACTGCAGCACCATCATGTGACCAGGGGAAACCCCATGCATAAAGGAGCAAACTTTAATCCTGTAAAACATCCAGAAGCTTGGTAAATTGGCAGGTTAAAGACTCTGTGCAGAGAAGCCTGTAGAGAGAAAAAGGAACTGAAGGGACTTTCTGCATCCTTTTATTTATGTGGGGTTGTGGGAGTGTGGATCTTCAGCATGAATATTCCAGGCCATCACAGGCCCACATGAGTGATGTAGCCAGGGAGATAGTTGGTGATTGTCTTAAAAAAGAAGTTGTCACTGAAGTGACAGTCAAGCTGCGTAGGTTTGGCCTAAAACAAGAAAGCTAAAAAGCATGAAATACGTCTCGGTGCCTGCTTTTGCTTGCCACTCAGGCACAAGATTGGAAAGCTGCAAGTGTTGGGAAGCCTTGATGGCAGCCGCAACAAAGATAATCATGCTCAGTCAGGAAAGACCCTTTTTGCCTTGAACTTCAGCAGTTTTGTTGAAAGATCACCCAGGACCCCTGCAGTTACTTATGACAGCATGCTACCATGTAGTAGAACTCACCGCCAACTACAAAATCACAGCCCATGTACAGACACATTTATAACCTGCTAGTCATGTAGACCAATACAGTGTTCAGTTTCCAGATAATGTTAGTACAATAGCATCCTGTTGTCTTTAGGTCTGACATCAGGTTCTAAATCAAAAAGAAATACTGTTAACAATAGTATGGAAAACTTTACTGATTGCTTGATTGACCTGTCAATTGAGTAGACCATTTTGCAGTTTGGATCCTGCTTAAACATGCAAATGTATCTGATTGAAGGATCATTCAGGAAATCTGGTTTGACAACTACACTGTGCAGGCGCTTGCCTCTGTGGGACTAGATGCTTAGGTGGGTCCATTCAGAAACAAAAGTTTATGTTGTTTCAGCTTTTCTGCAGCTGATGAGAACACAGGTATTTCCTCACTTATAGAGTTAGCCTACAGAAGCTTCTCAGTCCAGCTAAGAATTCCATCTTCTTAAAGTAACAGCAGCACTAAACAGTGACCTGGCTTGGAATGCCGGTGCTTTCTCAGAAAGGGGTGCAGGTTTGATTTTATAACACAAAGGCACATATAAGCAACCCTTTTCTGCCAGGATTTATCTGAATTTTCCCGACACAAGCATGAATCCAAAGGAGCTAAGGAAATGCAGGGATCACACAGGCAATCTCCCTTGGCATGTGCTGGTCCAGAACAACCTAATGAAACACATCACTTCTCTCTTCTCCAAGCCCTCACAAATCAGGTCTCCTTCAAGATAAAAAAAGCTTCTTTCCAAAAACACTGGGGAGCTCTTTCTAATATCACTCCACACTTCTTGGTCTGTTTCACCACACATATGGACCTTGAATGATCATCTCTCCCTGGGGAAAGACAGTCCTTAGCAGAAAGAGCTGCTCCCCACCCCTAGTCTATTGGATTCCAATAAGTGGGAGTTCTAAGCTTCTACCCATTTCCAATGATATGGTATTTTTCAGCCCAGGTCCCAACGTACACTGAGACCAAAGTAGCCCCTCCATCTTCTGCAATTGATTGGAAGAGAATCACCTGGTAGACACGTCATGCCTGCTGCGCCTCTTCTGTTGATTTTCTGGCTGCTCCGACTGGCAGTGCATCAAGGTGATGGCGGGTGCGGGAATGGACCTGGGGTCATTTAAGGACATGGGAATCAGCCCCCTAATTTCCCCACCCTTTTCAGAGGAATAAACATGGGGGCATGAGAAGGAAACTGCCCAAGAGTTGTGCAGTGAGAGTGACCAAAAAGCTTCTTCCCTGTTATCCAAATCCCAGATCTTAATTTTTAAATGAAAACATAGGAAGGGCTGCAAGAGAGCTGCATCCCTTTCCCTGGAGATTCTCTTCCCCCTGTGAGGAGCCCAGATCTGTGGGTGGGAAGAGAGCACTGGGTGCTTGCAGACAGACCGCTCCTACCAATGTTGCTGAGAAGGCATGGAGCATCTCTTCCATTTTTTTGCAAGAGAAAACCCCATCACTCAAAAGCCAGTAAATTAGCATCCCAGAGCTAAAGCTGTAAAAAGCCCAGATTCAAATTAAGTCCCAAATAAAACTTTAGCCAAAATAATTTGGCTAAGAATAAACACAGTTGCAACCTGAGACACGATTGTCTTGTCCTTGCATATAAGGCTAATTTGTATGACTCAGCATGGCCTCGTGGCTAGAGTGTCAGACTGGGATTTTGGGGGTTCAGGTTATAATCCCACTCAGCCATGAAGTTCACTGGTGACTTTGGGCCAGTTGCTGACTCTCAGCCTAACCTACCCCACAGGGTTGTTGTGAAGATAACATGGAGAGAAGAAAGACGACAAAAGCTTTGGTTTCCTACAGGAGAAAAAGGCTGGATAGCAATATAAAAATGAACTGATCCTTCTGCATGTTGCTTCGCCAATGTCTCTTATCACTTTCCTTTGTTGGTTTGTTTTCCACAGGAGCTGCTAACACAGAACCAGGTAAGCAGCCCCTTGATTACCTTTTCTAAACAAGAATTTCACAAGAGTGATAAATTAAAGTGGAGTCTCAGAAACTTAAGAACATAAAAATGTCTGGGAGTCAGTCACTGGGAAAGATTATTTTAAAAATTCAGACAGAAATCTTAACAAATGAACTCTGAGCAATTGCGCTCCCTGATCTGTTTCCAGGCTTCTTGACCTGTTTGGCATTTCCATTTCGTACTTGTCGTGTGCCATGATCCTAAATCCCTTCTTTCTTCTCCTTCCTCCACAGCTTGTGGGAAGCCAGTTAACTCCCCACGAATTGTTGGGGGGCAAGCAGCCTTGGATGGGGCATGGCCCTGGCAAGTCAGCATTTCACTACATGGCAAACCGTTCTGTGGAGGGGCTCTCATAGCCAAGCAGTGGGTAGTTTCAGCAGCCCACTGTTTCCCTTGGTAAGTACCCAACCTGGGAGACTGTGATGCAGCTACAAGGTGTTACCCCAAGGGCAGCAGTAAGACCAAGCAGATATTCCAAGCCAAACAGTCGGCTCCTCCGTGTTGAGCCTTAGCAATGCACAGGCAGGCACAGCAATAAAAACTGAGATGAAGCTGGTGGCAGCAGGAGGGGTGGGGTCCCAATATTCTATTTTACAGAGGACAGTCCTCTACTTGAATTGTTCACGCAGAGCAGTCCTCTGTTTGAAAGTTCCCTCTGTTTAAGTGGCTGTCCATCAATATCCTGGGAAACATTCCCATCCCCGTAGCTCCATGGGTCAGGCATCCACTGTGCCACAGAGATCAGATTGTGGGACTGGGGGAGTTAAAGCTTCTCCCCTACCAGCAATTTCTGGGGCCAGATTTAGAGAGGGGGAGATGGAAAAGGGTTAAAACATCTTTCCTTCTTCCAGGAGTCCTAATCCACTGCCAACAGTAAGAAAGGAATAGTTATTCAATGGCTTGCCCCTTTACCTTTGGACAAAACAAGTTCTGTTTTATGGGTTGAATTCCTACCTGTGATCTTTCCAGCTAAAAACTCAAAATCAAAGCCTGGTTTTGGATGGTGGTGGTGGTGGTGTGGAGGCAGAACAATAGTGACAACATCTATGGGTGACATGAAGTACCCCAGGTTTGAACTTCTGGGTGCTTTCACTTTTTGGCACTGAATATGAACATTTGAGAGGTAGTTCCTTTTCTTTCTTAAAAAGAGATCATCAGTGTGGGTGAAATTTTCAAGGCACCCATATGAAAAACCCATACATCCAAGAGTGCTCATAAGCATCAATGTCAGTGCAATGGGGAGGGAAAATTGCAGTTCAGGGATTATAAATGCAAGTTGCCTGGTTTAGAAGGAGCATGTGCTTATTGGCAGCAGATTCATAACTGAGTATCTTAAGGCAAAGCAAGCTCAGACAAGGTCCAGCAACATGGTGCCCCACAGATGTTCTGGACTTCAACTTCCATAATCCCAGACTGCTGGGGCGTAAAGGACTTGAAACCCAAAACTTCTACAGGTATAAAGTCTCTTCCATCTCACAGAATCCAAGGCCTCCTTGGTAATTGCTATTTGCATTTTTCTTTGTCTTGCCATTTACAGGTCTGCTAACCTAACTAACCTAATTGAGGTGCAGCTGGGGGCCTATCAGCTCTCCGTCTTTTCAAGTAACACAGTAAAATCTGCAATCCAACGGATAATCCTCCACCCTGACTACAACGGCAAGGACGGCTCCTCTGGGGATATAGCTCTGGTGGAACTGAAGTCCCCTGTGAAGTTCACTGACTACATCCTCCCCGTCTGCCTGCCAGGGTCCTCTGTGCAATTTTCTACGAAAGCAAACTGCTGGGTCACTGGATGGGGAGCAATACGACCCGGAGGTAAGAAAAAGGTGGACAGCTGTGCTTTGCAGTGCTCACTCAGACTCTGATAACTTTCACCCCATCATGGTCCTTTCAGTTTCAGGGGAAGGAAGGTACAGCTCCCCATCCTAAGGACTCTAGCTCATCCTTTCCCAGCCTGGTGCCCTCTAGTCTTGTTGGACTGCCATTCTCATAATTCCTACATCACATATGAATGATGGAAGTTAAAGCTGGGAAAGGCGATTGATCTAGGAGAGGCAAAGATCGTGAGGGGCTGGAGGCATGCAATCCAAGCGGGAGTGCAGATCAGCTCCAACGGGGCCAATGCTGCCCAAGCTGGATTCCCTGTGGTGACTGTTCTCCAGCCCCAGTGGAACTTTAGTAAGCCCATCCCACCGACACCTGCTGCACATTCAGAGAGATTCCACATTTCCTTTTACAGCCACCCTACTGGCATTATAACATTATAATATGATAAATTATAAATATTATAAATTATATTATAAATTATAATAAATTATATAATATAATATATTTTATAACTATATAATATAATTATATTATAAATTATAATATGATAAATGTCCATATCAGAATCGATCAAGGACCTAACTATGCCTTCAAGTATTCAAACAAGTTATATTTTGATGCTACCTGAGAATGGATAGCAGGTAGCACCCATCTATCTTTCTTGAAGTGTATGCATAACCTCCCACTGATTTTTATATGCACATAAATATATACACATGGGTTTCATATACACATGAGTATGCATTTCATATATATTTATTGTAAGTGATCTATTTGCATTTATGCTTGACATTTCTATTTCCATTTCTTTTATGGTTTAGCTTTGATTATATAAACTGCTGTTGCTGTTCTGTTGTTGCTGTTGTTGTTGTTGTCATCAACTAAAAGGTTTTCCTTCCTCTGCAGTGCCACTGAAACCCCCACAAACCCTCCAGCAACTGAACGTGCAGCTAATACAACGGGGCAAATGCAACATTCTCTTTAACGAGGCTGCAGGCGACGTTGTGGAGCACAATCCTATCAGGGCTGATATGATCTGCGCGGGTCACCTGGAAGGTGGCAAAGATGCCTGCCAGGTAGGTTGTTCCATAACTTGTTCCTCATAGAGCTGTCAACCCTGGTGAAGAGGGCCAGCCCTCAGGGCTTGGCAGGACAGACTCTGAAGGCAGGATGCAGAAGGTTGGGATGTTCCAGATGTTCTCGCCTCTAGCTCCCATCAGCTCAAAATTTTTGGCCAATGACCAAAGTCCTAGATGTCCTGGGCCATCTAGTCTGACCCCCGGCTCCAGCCAGCTCCACTCTTGAAACGTCTAGCATGTGCATGTCCAGTCTATCCTTAAACACCCTCATCGATGGGGCTTCAACCACCTCCCGTGGTTGAACCTTCCACTCTGCTTCCACCTGGCCCCAATCTCTTTCTCCCAGCTGTCAATCATTTGGTGGTTTCCCAGCTTTTGGGGAGTCCACCTCCAAAACCCAATCCCAAAAGGCTCAAATGCTTCTCCTGAGGCCAGGTAATGCTGCCAATGGGCTCTCTCACTGCCCACAGATAAGGTGCACTGCCATATGCCCACTACTGGATTGCACTTCCGAATGGGTACTCCAAAAAGCAATTCAGCCCTTGGTCTGAAGGAGGCTCAACATCCCTGAACTTTTTTTTTTTAAGATTTTTATTAAAATTTTAAACTAAAAACTAAAAACATCAATCATCAAATACATCGGACGTACTGGGTCAGCCCCTTATGACATATCTTTTTAACATTCTATAATCAAGTTCAGATCAATTTATAAAAATTTAAAAACATCTTTAAATCTAAGCCAAGTCCCGTTTCTCCAGCCAATCATAAAAAGGTCCCAAGTTTGATAGAAGTCAATATCTTCTTTCTCCTTCAGTAATAGAGTCAATCTGTCCATTTCTGCACAGTCCAGAATCTTTTTTAAAATCAGTTCCTCCGTGGGTAACTCCTCGCTCTTCCAGTACTGAGCAAGCGCAATCCTCGCCACTGTGATTAAATGTAGCATCAAATGCATTTCTTGTTTGCTAATATTTTCCGGTATAATGCCTAACAAGAAAATTTCAGGTTTAAAAGCTAAGGGTTTTTGTAGCATTTTCTCAAGCCATTTATGTATTTTCATCCAATACTTTTTCGCATATTCACAGGTCCACCAGATATGGTAAAAAGTACCCACATCATGTTTACATTTCCAACATCCATTTGACATATTTGGAAACATCTTAGCTAATCGACTTGGCGACAAATACCATCTATAAAACATTTTATATAAATTTTCTTTATACGAAGTTGCTAAAGTTACCTTAATGTCTCTCTGCCATAGCTTTTGCCACTTTTCTAATTCAATATTGTATCCAAAATTTTGTGCCCATTTTATCATAGTTTCGTTAACCTGTTCCCCTTCCATTTTCCTGTCAAGTAAGAACTCATAAATTCTTTTAATCATTTTCTCATCTGTTTTTAGCATCACTTGATCAAATGCTGTTAGGTCTTTATAAAACCCCCATATTTTACAATCTTTAGCATATCTTGATTGCATCTGCACCTTATACCACCAAGAGATATTGAGTCCCTATTTCTTGTATTTCTTGATCTAGCTTCAGGCCTCCATCCTTATCCAAAATATCATCATATCTTATGATCCCTTCAAAATTCAATACATTTGGATACACAAAAGCTTCCATAGGTGAAAGTCATCTTGGTAATTTATTATACAATTTTGACTTTAACTTTTCCCACACTGACATTAATGGTCTTCTAATAAAGTGACTTTTAAAAGTCCCATGAGATTTAACCTTCTTGTACCACATATAAGCATGCCAACCCATTTGTAAATCATGACCTTCAAGATACAAAATTCTCTTATTTCGCAAGTTTATCCATCTTTTAGCCAAGTTAAAATAGATGCTTGGTAGTACAACATCCAGTCAGGAAGACCAAAACCCCCGTTCTTTTTGGTTTCCTGAAGCATTTTTAATTTAATCCTTGGTTTCTTCTTTCTCCAAATAAATCTCAAAATTTGAAGATTTAAATCCTCAAAAAAATTTTTATCAATTTTTATGGGAATCATTTGGAACAAAAACAGAAGTTTTGGTAGTATGTTCATTTTAACAAGTGCTCTTCTTCCCATCAAAGACAGTTGTAAATTGGCCCATTTTTCCAGATCATCTTTAATATTCTTCAATAATTTATCATAATTGTCTTCTTTCAAAATTGTGCATTTAGCTGTAAGATAGATTCCCAAGTAGTTAAGTCCGCTTGTTCTTGGAGTCTTTTTTTCTGATCTTGTGTTAGATTTTTAACTAAAAGTTTCATTTTTTTCTTTATTTATTTTCATCCCTGTAACCTCACCATATTCTTCAATCCGTTGTAAAAGTTTAGGGATTGTTACAAAAGGTTCCTCTGTTATGAAGACCAAATCATCTGCGAATGCTTGCAATTTATAAATTTCATCCCTAATTTTAGTACCTTTAATGTTCTCGTCATCCCTGACATTTCTATTCAAGACCTCTAAAGTCAGAACGAACAATAGGGGTGACAATGGGCATCCTTGCCTTGCACCCTTTTGTATCTCTATAGCCCTTGTTAGTTCTCCATTAATTAAAATCCTGGCCGATTGTCTTTGATAGATACTTGATATTCATGAATTTTCCCCCAAACTCCATTTGAGCCATCTGTTGCTTCATGAATTGCCAATTAACATTATCAAAGGCTTTCTGGGCATCCTAAAACAGTAGAGCCATTGATTTTTCCGTGTGTGTCTCACAGTATTCTAGGATATCCAACATTCCTGATCTTGAGGACAACTGCTTCCCCACTCCAACATGGCTTTATGCCCAAGAACCAAACCTTTAGAGGTGGAAGTTCTGCTGAGAAGAGTCCAAGCACCACCTGGCATTCTTACAGATTTGTTAAACTGAAACCGAACACAACATGAGCAGAACCCTCAGAGATTTCTATATGGCCTCAGTCTGGCTGGATAGAAAAAATCTGATATCAGAAGGTTTCTCATGATCATGTGCTAACTACCTTCTCTCTTGCAGGGTGACTCTGGAGGACCCTTGGTTTGCAAATGTGCTGGAGGCTGGACCCTGGCTGGAGTCGTGAGCTGGGGCGTAGGATGTGCCTTGCCCAACCTCCCTGGTGTCTATTCCTCTGCTCCTTTCTATGCTAAGTGGATCTACCAGCATATACCTAGCATGAACTTTGTAGGGTGCAGAAACGGTGGGGAAGGTGTGAATGGCAGTTTGCAGCATGCCCCTGCTCTTGCTTTCCTCCTGATGTCCCTTGCATGGGTCTTCCTGTAAGATACGCATCTCTCCACCTTCAGCCCACAATTTATCCAGATGGAATATCCCTCTCCAAAGTGCTGGTGGGAGAGCATTTACATTTGTCCAAACTGTGTATCTGCATTACCCATTTCAACTGCTTTTAAATTGCTCAGTGTGAATTTCAAGCCTGCGGTCTGCCTCAAGGAATGCTGGAAATGGAGATGGGGCTGACACTTGCTTATTCAATCAAGAGCTTTCTTAGTGAGTTGCCTTCAGGGCCAGGCCAAGACATTTTGCTGCCTCAGGCAAAGGACAAAATAACACACACACATACCCTCTTCTACATCCAAATAGACAAATGAATCTGCACTTCAGCACTTATACGGAGTAATGGCTTCCACTTACAGCTTTCTGCTGCCTTGCTGCTGCCTTCCAGAATCTTCTAGTTGAAGCAATTACCTCACCCTGCCTAAGAGTAGGGCCTGCACTAATTGCCTTATACCAAGCCAGACCATTGCTCTATGTGCTATCTACACTGACTGGGTTCAGACAGTGTGATACTCAACATTCCAGAGTTGAGTGTGGCTTGTTGTTGAAACATGGCTTGTTGTGTTGTCTGAACCTACCTGTGCTAATAAACCATGGCTTGTTAACCATAATGAACAATCCATTAAGAGAACCCATAGTTTGTTGTTGGGTTATGAAATGTGGGTTGTCCACCATGGTCTGTTATCTCAACTAAGTTCTGAGAAGGTGATAACTTATGCTTCAACAACAGCTCACAGTTCAACAGCAATCCATTGTGTAGGAGGTTATTGTGTTGTCTGAAACCAGTCACTGACTGGAAGTTTCAGGTTGGAGCTCCCCCAACTATTTCTGGAGATTCCAGGACGGAACCAGGGACCTTCTGCAGTCAAGGAGGTACTGTGCCACTGCTACATCACAGCTGTACCTTGGTGTCTTCAACCAGCATTAAAAAGCATCTTTGGTGTTTGCAGCTCATTTTTTTATCCTGTGAGAGATTTAAGTGACATGGACAGAAGTGGCAAATAATTCTGCACATGGGTTTATGAGATAGTGAACTATAAATTTACTTTTAGGCAGTATTTCATGTCCATCAGGTATTTATGTGTATTATCCAGCTATAGGTATGTTGCTATATTCTCGTACATGCATTAGCATCCAGTTTTATACCATTAAAGCAATTGTTTTATATTATTTATAAATACTGATATAGATTTTAGTGCTCTTCCTCTTTGTATGATTATATGACCACTGTGCATCTTAGCTGAATGTGTTGAAAGAAATATCAGGGATTATTAAAGCCTCTGGAAATATTAAACAAACAAACAAACACCCACCACAGTGGTTTACACATACAAAAGTTAACACTTGGCAAGTTTACAACCAAGAACCAAAAAAGCAGTAAAAGTGTGAGTTAAGATTTGCAAGACATAACATCACATCCTCCACAAGGAGGCAAAGAATGCATGCAAAATCCTCATTCTCCTAAAGCAAAGAAACCAAGTGGACCTGAGGGAAACTACGTTATGAAGGGAGTGTGACTCTATGGAAAACAGAGGAGTCAAACTGAAGAAGGGAAGTTCAACCCATTCTCAAATCAATAACTGAGCCTCAGAAGTCATGCTTGCCCTGAAAATAATATACTCAGAGCACAATCCTGTCCTCCCAAAATCCTCTGAGAGGTGCAGGATTATCCAAAGTCTCAGCTCCAAGGTCCTTCAACCTCAGAGCTGGGAATCTGAAGGCCAAATTCCTGGCCACCCCTCCCTGCAGCTGGTGTAAAAAGAACCATGCCAGCTGCCCACTCACCCCCAAAGCCACAACTGGGCCTTGGAGGGAGGGGAAAGGGGCAGGCTGGGGGTGGGGAGGGAGCAGAGGAGGCTGGGACCATGGACCCAATTGGAGGGTGTCCCAGCTACATTCCCTCCTTCTCCTCAGCACTCTCCCCAAAGCTGGAGATCTGCATAAAGCACCCTGTGTGAAGCAGGCTGGCGGTGGGTACCTCTCCCATGCCCCACTGCCAGCTCAGAGGCTTATGTGCGTTGAGAGTGGGATTGTACCCGGTGGCTGAAGTATTATACCCCCTTACTCACAAGTATGCCACATTCTACTCAGTGGGACTTACTTCTGTGTAGACACATATTTGCACTGCAAGTAAGGTTTTTTAAAGAAGCAATATAGCAAACCCAAAACCAAGATGTTTCCTTTTGCAATAACCTCAACGAAGATTCAGCATATCTGGGATATCTAAATTTCCATATGCAGTTCATACATTTGAACAAAACAGGATAGATAATTATAGAATATATGTTTAAATGTGGAAAGAACAGTATGATTTTCAGACTGTTGAATGATAAATGGTGGCTGTTCACTGGACCAATCTTGTATTATAAGACCACTTGGATGCAAGATATGTATTGTGTGCTTGTGGTTCCTCATTCACAACTGTTTATGGGCTCTTTATATGATACAGTGATCTTCGAATTTCACTTGTTTTTTTACCGCGTGTTCCCATGTTTTGTTCTTTTGTTTGTTTACAATGGGAAAAATAAAGTGTTATTTCTTAACATGCAGTCTCTCCTGGCCTATTTAAGCTGTTATCCTGCCATAAACCATCTAGAAGAGTGGAAAAGCAGGAAAGGAAAAGCTCTTTCTACAGAGCTTGAAATCCTGTTCTGTGATGAAGCAAAGTAGAAATAAGTATTAACAGCCTGGTGTAGAAAAGCTCCAACTTTGCAACTAAAAATGCTCTCAAGAGCCACTCACAGCATCCTTGTTAGTCTCTAAGCCACAGGCACATAACGTAAAAGCACAGGGGCATCCACGCATCTCATAGGTTCAAGCCACATAACCTATAGAACTTTTATAAACATATTTCAAAGGACATTTGGGAAGCATTCCTCATAAACACACACCAGCCTCATGGAAGCTTGCTCCAATTTTTCTTCAATTACAGCAAAAAGAAAATGATCAGAGCATGAGAAAATTTCCTAATTAATATTGTCTTCAACAAGATTCGAACAACCCCCCCCCTTAACTGGAATTATTATTTTAACATTTCTAGTTGCTATTTCTGAACTCCATTGACCATGATCCAGAAAAAACACAGTTGGGAAAAATGCAAAAAGACAATTCATGTAGTGTGAAATGAAATGAAGCGAGCCGAACCGAATCGAGCGGAAATTAGATGAGACCAAACCAAACCAGCCAAGACAGCCAAGAAGCAAAAGCAAGCAGTGGCAGATGTCCGTGTGAGTTTTCAGGTGATTTTCATGCAGGGTATCTGGGCTGGCGGTGGGTACCTCTCCCATGCGGTCAGCTCAGAAAGAGAGGAGAGAGAAAAGCACATACTTCTTCTCTCATGGCAAGAGACAAGGTGGGAGAAAGAAATGGGCAAATGGTCATGTAACCCCTATTACTATTCCAGGTGGGATGGGAGGAAAAAAGGGTCAGGCTTGTTTTTTCTATGGCATCAAACCTTTTCCTCCCACTCAAACTAGTGGGCTGGAGCATGCAAGGTTAATGCAAGCAATGATACATATATCTAACAATACGATTGCATTGTAAATCGGGACTAGGAAAAATTGACCTACGGAAGTTAGTATGGTTTAATTTTGTTGTAAGAAGCTCTTTTGAGAAAAGCATTAAGGAGACAGTCCATTCTTGTTGAGCAGAAGCCTTTGAGCTTAGAGCTTCATAGTCATCCTGTGCAAATCATAAGCCTACCTGCTGTTTTCACTCAGCAGTTTTGCTGGACAGCTTTTTTGGCTGCCTAGTAATGGCATGTTACTATATGAGAGCCAGTGAGGCATAGTGGTTAAGAGTGCGGAACTGAGACTCTGAAGATCTGGGTTTTAGTCCCCGCTCAGCCATGGAGATCACTGGGTGCCAGTCTCAAACCCTCAGTCAACCTACCTCACAGGGTTGTTTTTTGGGGGACAAGATTTGAGGACAGGAGGAAGAGGAGGATCTAAGCTGCTTTGAGTTCTTTAAAAAAAAGGCAGGATATAAATCTAATAAATACTGGGAGAGGAGGCTGGATCAACATCAGGATAGCTCATATCTTGCCCATCCCAGTCTCTCTATCCTCCTGCACCATAAAGACTTGAACACTTCTTTTTCCCTTCTCTGGGGTGCCTTTCTTGACCTCAGGGTGCAATGCATTCTGCACCAGCTGCAAGGGAGCCAGGGTACAGTTCCCAATGCTGAGATCAGAGCACTGTCTCCAGCCTTGGAGCTGGGAATCCAAAGTATCCTTTAGCCTCCCAGATGATGTCTGGGGCCATAGGATCATTCCATCATCATAATCACCATCTGTAACTATAAGATGGTTGTGTAGCTCAAGACATCGATTTCTTAACATGTTTTTTTAAGTATCTCCCTACCGAGGAGGAAAACATTGTGTACAAGGCTGAAAGTTTCTGGAGTGTTTATGTTTGTTTATTTTGCTAACACACACATTTAAAGGAAATAGCCTTTGATTGGATTGTTTAATAATACAAATAAATCACCCAGAAGATGGCTTTTCTTTACTCAAACCAGGAAATACGTGTATTTAATAATATGTTTATAATTACAATGCCAATTATAATTATAATTTTTATAATTGGCATTGGCATTGAGGCCAGTCAATTTGTGAAGTAGTTTGCCAGTTTTAAAAAAAGTGCACACATGTGCAACAGTTAGGGGAAAATGCATATGTCTATTAGTGAAACAGAATATGAGAATTAGAATATGCCTATCCATGAAAATAATATATAAAATGTAGTATATTAGGTAACATGGCTTACAAAAATAAGTTTATTGGTCAAAATTGTGTACAGATTTTTTGTGTGGACTTTAAAAAAATAATATGAATCACAAGTTAATGTGCAAACTGACTGAGCCAAAGTTAAGACTAAAAGAGAGAGAGGAGAAACTGAGAAAACCAAGAACTGACAGATTCACCCATTCATATAACTTCATTTACTTTACAGATTCCAGAAGACACTGAGATGGATGTAAAGAT